TGAACCAGCCTGCTCCTCCATTTCAACTTAAAGTCATATATTACAGAAATATCAATGTTTATTTTTTCTCTCTGCTCTAGGACTGACTACAGAAAACTTCACACTATTCTCTAGCATATGTGAGCACTTTCTTGGTTTGTTTTCAGTAAGAAAGAAATAAGCTTGTAATTCAGCAAAAGACAAAAAGAAAGTCGCTTAAGCCTCACTTCAAACATCACAGAAACTGCAGTGAAGAACTCAGTACCATGGCTCTTCTAGCTGTTGTGTGCAATTCTGTAATTATCTCTTCAAAGAGCTGTAGATGTCTAAACAAGTGAAAGCTTATCAGATGCCCCTATAATAAAAGATCTTTAATAGAAGATGCTATAAAAGTATATCTAAGATACCACAGGACTGCAAATAACGTTCCCAGAGACCCCTTCCAGCCCCAGTGCTGGAACAAGCCCCTGAAAGAGAGCAGCCTCCTACCTCGCTCTGATACTACATCCACTGTAGCTGTAGATGTCCCCGCACTCAGAGGCTGAGGCCGAGGCTGTGGCTGCACCCGGTTTGGCTGTAGAAATGACGAATGTTTGGTCAGACTCTGAGGATGTGTTTGGCTCTGGGCTAAGCATGGCATAGATCTTCTAGAAGGTTTTAATGGATGCTCTTTCACTGTCTCACTCTTGCTTGTATTCATGCCTGAAAAACCCAAAAGAAAAAGAACATGAAGCACTGCAGTATTAGAAAGTAATGAAGTCATATTGCTAGTTATGAAAATAGAAGGTGTTCTATCCACTTAATAAGTAACTCTCCAACTGAAAAAAGCGCTTAAAGTATTCAAAATTAAAAGCTAATTAAGTTGCATAATGGTGCTGTAAGGAAGCTTAGTATTTTTATATTTATGGGGAGAGTACTTCAGCACAGACACTTCCCATTCATTGGAAGAATTTTGGTTCCTGTAGTTGAAATGTAGGTTGGAAGGTTAGGTTCTTGCTTCCCCTATGCATCTAACTGAAGAGAGAAATGAATCTGGAGATGTAAATCTACACAGGTGAATCTCTTGGAGAAGTTAATTTTAAACTTGCTGAGGGATGCAGAGTTGGGAACAGAATCCAGGAACTCTCTATCGACCCTTCCATCAATACTGGACAATTTGAATTCACAATGTTCTAAAGCTTATGATTCTTTTGTACATATGTCATACAGCCATTAGAAACTACATGATAGTTTCTAACATTATCCATATTACCATAATTTGCCAAACAAAACTTCAGTTCAGGGGTAGAAATGAATGAGAATCTGCACTCAAAGAAAAAAATTCAAATACAAGCAAAATTTGTTCAAAACTTCCTGAAGGATTCATGAACACCTTCTCCTTTGAAATACAGCTTAAATGTTTGTGACTTACAGTGAAGCTATAAGCTATTTCTAGTTCTATTTCGGGGACACACATGCAGTTGGGTTTTCACACGCATTGCTTAACTTTTAGGTTCATGTGCCTATATATAGACATATGCACTGGTGAACTGAATGACACTAGTGAGAATGTTTTAAAAATCAGATTGTTAGTTAAATGAAAAAATGTAATGGGGGATTACAATCTTTTACATCATTTAAAAAATTCCCTGTTCTCAATTTGTCCCATCCTAACATTGCAAGTCTATGTTTCCAAAATGTATCTCACATATTTTCTGATAATTAGAAAGTTACCTATTACTTCTCCTCATGCAAATATTTTCAGTATTCCCACTGTGCTCACATAGTGCGAAACAAATATTTCAAGTACTCCAAGTATTCCCACTGTGCTTACACAGGACTTCTAATGCAAGAAACATAACAAGGTCATCAGCTGTACAAGTCTTCAGTCCCCACTTCTAATTAACAATGAAGGTATGTAACTTCAGGCCATAATTAACTTTATATTTTCATGACAGAAGATTATAATTAATATCAAAATTATATCAAAATTGGGAATTTTCAAGAAGAAAAAATGTTTTTATTCTACTTTCTACGCTATTGCTGACCTTCAGGCTTTGTTATCTATTTCTTATTACAACACTAAGACATATTGTCCTAATGTATGGAAAAGGAATTGACAGATATCCACCAGTTTAAAAGTACAGGAAGTTTGAAACTAAAATAATCTGCTTTATTAACTGCATTATCTTTCTTGTGCTTTTTGCGACAAGTACACACTAAAATTTACTATTTTATTTGTCTTTTTGAAGCACTGGAAAGTAACTGCCAGCTACAAGAGAAAAGCTTCTCTGAGAATTGCACTTCTTAGACACCTACTCCCTAGGAGAGAAAGTCTGAATGAAAACTCAGGACTGATTTTTCTTGTATTAAAGGCAAATTAATTTGTGTCAAAGAAACAAGCAGAAATATAAATCTATGCTTAACATAATAACTGCTAAAGACAATAAATCGAACAAAAAGAAATCAGAAAAAAGGATAAAAAGGAAAAACAATATACCACCATTTCTTGGCGAGATACATTTCTTTCCTTTTATGTTTCTCAGTGGCTATAAATCTTAAGATGAATGTCACAAGTCACACATGTTGAGCAAGTGAGCAGGTCCTCTCAAAAATGTTCCAATAGACGAAAACTAATGCACTGTTTTATTCAGCATTCTTGTTTTCATCCTTATTTAATATGAAATAGTTGCTCAGCATTCTCAAAAAATGTCATTTGAGAAGACATGACAAAAGTCAAGCATTTTCTCAGGTTCTTGCTTAAAATGTATAATTTACCTCTATGTGGATTTCTGTTTTCCTTTTCTCCAGAAGCTGAAGCCTGTAAAATGCTTTTCTACTACACATTTCACTGACATTCATCCTGATATACATTATGATAACTTTGATGTTATCTTTTATAATAGAACAGTTTTCTTACAAAGATAAAGCATATGTGGACAATAGGAGAACAAGGCAGGTGCACCAAATTGCTGTCACAGTTAACGAGTAAACTTTAAATCAGCTTTGGAAAATATTGAAAGAAAATTGTCTTTGCTAGTGATCTGATCTCATTCTTCTAAGATTTCCTATCTGAAATTTTTCTTCATTGAAATGAGAACCTGTAACCGTGAAAAATTGCTTAGTAGTGATAATACTGAATCTGTTTTATGAATCTGTTTTTTGCTAAAATGCACTATGAGATTCTAAACATCTAAATCAGCTGATTTAACACTACCCTGGTTAGCAATAATTCACTTTTCAAAACAATATGTGCAATATGTACCATCCCTGCACATTTTGCCAGCATGACTGTTTATATTTTGAATGGAAATAATTATCACTGTCTTCTCAAAACAGACATGCAACTATCCTTTCCGATGATAATTTTACCACTGTTCATCCCATTTCACTCCCATTTTAGATTTCTCTCCCTAAAAATCTCAGGAGTTTCTCAGGCATAGTAAATTTCAACCTGTCTTAATACCTGCAAAAATGGGACAATACACAGCTGTCACTAAACACCTATCATTATCCACAAATGTATTCCTCATTCCACTTCAGAGATTACAATTATATATATTTCTAAATGTATATTTAGAATATTTAACATATTAAATAATGATGTATTCAATAACCATTACTGAGTAACAATATGAATTTATGATCGTGACTCTCTGATAAGTACATCTAGTTTTGTACTTAAAACAGACAACTGCTACAAGATGTTGAATTTTTGTTGCACGCTACAACTCTATTCGGGAAAACGCATAATATGCTAGGCCACTCTGGCATTTAGCTCAAACAATGGCTTATAAGCACCATAAACACTTAAAATAATTGCCCAAAGGCTTTTATACACAGTAAGGTATAAATTTAATAAAAAAATAATGGAGCTGAAATACAGATGCTGAGAGCATTCCATACCATGAAATATTTACGCCTTCCTTTCAAAGTTACAAAAACACCTTCCCCTTTGCCATTATGGAATTACATTATTGCTCTTATATTAGTTCTACCTATCGGGTATCCTTCGCAAAAAAGCATTGTAGAAGCACATGGTTGGAGACAAACCACATTCAAAAGACATTAAAAAAAACAGATGAGACAATGATTTGGGGGAGGAAAAGAACCCTCCTACAGATGATTCCAAGAAATGAAGTAGCTTTCCTAACATTACACAGAAGAGAAACTCATTATTAGACACCTTCAGACTCAATATAGGTCCTTGATGCACACCATCCTTGTAAAAATAGAATAATTCAATATTGGACAAAGTTCAAGTCCATCAGAGAGCTGAACGTGATATTCAGCTCCGCAACCGATAGGATTTGTTTCTCGTGCTTGTGCTTACAGTTCTTGTTAAATCCTGGGAGCTGAGGGGTCAGGTAGGGTGCGCTGGTGCCCGGAGGCATCCCGCCAGCCTGGGCAACCGCAGACCCTGCTCCACGGGACCAGGCTTAGCTGGGGAGCAAGAGAGGCACCACATCTCTGAGCCAACCTGCAGCCCCCCTAAGGAAAAAGCAGGCAGCCAGGCAGCAATACAGCAGAAGGAACTTCCAAAGGACTTGATGCAGCTCTAAGGGTTGCGTCCCCCTCACTGCCCTCCCCCCCCTTTTTTTTTTTTTTTTTTTGCTATTGGGCAAGTGATGATCACTGCAACTAAAAAAAATGCAAATATATTTGTAAATATTTGCCTAATTCTCACACTGTCCTCATTAATTCAGTAACTAAGCATATGATTCATTCTTTCATTTTCATGTCAAAATTCACAATGCATCTTCAATCATAAATGGATTGTATGTTCAGAACTTAATACCAGAAACGTTTGCTAGTCTCTTAGTTAAATGCCTCAAGTTGTTCCAGCAAGAACAAAGCAGTGGGACTTCTGAGGGACTGCTGCCTTTCCTGTCAAAATGAACCACACGCAAGCACACCACAGAAATAAAATCTAGTCCTCAGAGTATCCGGGAAATCTTTGCGGACAAGGATATTGAGATAACCAAAGATTACAAATATACCTCTACCAAAAACACGCAGCAGAGGAAAAGAGATTCAAAGTATCCGTGTTTTCCAAGCCAAGCAAAATTAAATATATGATTTTTGCTGTGAAGAGTGCCAGTACCTTCTGTTTGTACAGGATCAGCAGGTCTTCTGTGATTGCTGTACACAGTGTCAAAGATCCTTAGGAGATTAATATGGAGGTCTGTTTAACTACACTATTTTTCTGCTTGACAACACAGCTAACTCTGCAGGATGTTCTTATAAATCTTGGTCTCTTCGTGCTGTATTATTACCTCTCCCCATCTGTACTGGAAAGAAATAGGTAATCTAAATGCTTCTGCTGCCTAGAGTGCCACCAACATGTGACGTATTATCCATAATAAAATCTGTGTCACTTCA